CCAGGTTCGCCCAATCGCGGCTCCCACTGGCCGCGGTTCGCTGCTCCAGGCCAATGGGAGCTCGCTGGAAGCAGCACGGGCCGAGGGACGTACTGGCCGCCGCTCAGCAGCTCCCATTGGCCTGGAGCAGCAAACCGCTGCCAGTGGGAGCCGCGATTGGCCGAACCTGTGGACGCGACAGGTAAACAAACTGTCCCGGCCCGCCAGGGGCTTTCCCTATACAAGCGGCGTCCCAAGTTTGGGAAACACTGAACTATGACATTGGGTTTTAAAAACAACCTTTTAAAATTTAAGTCTAGAATTAGAAACTACAAAAAAGAAACCAGTGTTACATCATCTTTGTTTTCCCCTTTTCTCTGCTAGCTGGGCAATGCTCACTCCATATCCGCTCTGTCCTCCCGTACACAGTCAGTCTACCGTTTTCTTGGCTGTTTTTGATCTTTGCACGCAAACTCTAGTGGCAGATGCCTCCCTAAAAGGATTCTCTTCATCCATCCTTCATACATGCTGTCACAAGGTGGTCCCCAAGAGTCTTTTCTTAACTTAAGGACAGACCTCACCCACTCCAGATCTCCTTTACCACCAGCTAGTCTAGCAGGCCACCACCATTAATGCTATTTACATTTTTCAACTCCCAGCCAGCTCCCCCACTTGCTTCTGGGGAAGGGAGCAGTACTAGCAGCAGCCAGCTCTGCCTTTCTTCAGGGTCTTAGCTCCCGCATCCACGGCTTCCTTCCTCTCAATTTATCTGCTCCCAGCTGTTGGGGTTTCGTCCTCCGCTAATTAGCCCCTCCACTGTAGCTCCACTTGTTAATTGATCCTGTAATTAGATCCCAATTAACCTATATTGGTGGGGATTTGAATGATGGGATACTGACTTAGCTCCTGACTCTGCACCTCTGTTACACATGCCCATATCATCTCATCTCAGCCTCCTCTCTTGCATTTTCTCTCTGATACCGCAGACCTTGGTCTCACACCTGATGACATTCTGCGTTTGGTCCAGTAATGCCATCTCTTCACTGCCCTAAGACATCTCATTTCAATGGTGTCAGGTCTTCTCAAGTGCTTCTCTTTGGTTGCCAATGTCTCTGATCCATACAGAAGAGTGGTCTTATCGTGTTTTTGTACAATTGTCCCTGAAGTAGTCTAGACATCTGTTTATCATAGATCACTCCACTTATCTTGCACCAGACTTTCCACTCACTCAGCAATGTTTCCTGCTGTTCTTTGTTGATTTTTCCATTTGCTCCTAACCAGCCCCCACAGTTCTTCAGTGTATAAACCTGATTTAGGTACTGGCCCTCAATACTGATATTCATCTGTCTTGGTTCCATGCAAGTCACTCGCATGATTTCAGTTTTTTCTTTACTCATTTTGAGGCCATAGTTTGTTAGTTCCATGTTCCAAGCATCAATCACCTGGACCAGATCTTCCTCCCTGTTGGCCATTAGCACAGTTATCATCTGCATAGATCACCTTTGTATCACCTTCCATTTGTATTTGCCTACTTATGAAGTCCATCAAAATTATGAATAGTAATGGAGTAAACACTGATCCCTGGTGGAGTCCAACCTTCACCTCAAACCCCCCTGTTGCACTGAAAAACATCTAACTTTTTATCAGGAAACTATGTGACCAGGTGTACCAGGCCCTGAGGTCCCCTGCTGGAGGCCTCACAGCCCTACCACATCCCGCCCCAGGAAAGAGCAGTAGAGGTTAGTCCTCCAGGCTGCCTCGAGTGACTGCGGGGAAGCAGCCAATCCGAGAGAGGTTGTAGGGAGCAGCCAATCAGAGTCCAGCAAGCTCATATAAAAAGGAGCTGCTGGACTACGGAGCAGGATCAGCTGCTGGCAGGGACCAGGGGAGCATGAAAAATGCTCCTGACTGGCTGCAGGAACTCAAGAAAGACTTCAGCCTTGGGGTAAGGGTGAAGGTGAAGGTGCAGGTGGGGAAGTGGCCCAGGGAACAGTAGCAGCAGCAACAGAGTAAATAGTTAAAGGGAAGCAGCAGGTGGCTGCTACTTTATAGGGTCTCTGGGTTGGGACCTGGAGTTGTGGGCAGTCCTGGGTCCATCACTGAGGAAATGCCTTAAGCCCTGAGTGACTCAGTTGAAGAGCTAGGGCAATAGGTGAAGAGTCTCCATGGAGGAAGCTCTGGGGCACTGCTTCATACCTTGAGGGGCAATTTAAGAGAGCTCAGGGAGGGTTGCAGGAAGAGACTAACCAAGGGTACTGTGATAGGCCCTGTTGGACTTGTACCCCAGAAGGGGTTTGTTTTGTTCACTTATGAACTGTGTATGACTCAGCCGGAGGATGGTAGCCAGTGGGAGGCACTGCAAGCAGCACAAAGCTGAATAAACAGCAGGCGCATGCACATATTCGATAGAGGGTACTCATGAGAAGCAAGTGGTCCCTGGAACAAACCATCATACAAATCTTTCACCATCTGGACAAGTGCCTCTGGTACGCCATAGGAACATAGCAGAGGCGCCGGTAGTCATCTAGATACTAGGTACTTTGTCAAATGCTTTCTCCAAATTGATGAAAGCCTAACCATGCTTGAAATTTCCCTCTAGCTTCTTTTTCACCAACTGTCTAGAGGTGAACATCTGTAGTCCCTTTCCTTTTCTAAAACCAAACAGCTCCTTTCCTAAAACAGGCTCTACTATTCAATGAATGCTACTATCTGTATTTCTCTCTAACAGTTTCATGCAGTGGGACAGCAGCTTAATTCCTCGGTACTTTGAACAGTTGTGTGTGTCACTTTTGTGCATATTGGTATCACTATGGGTTTCTACATTCTCTTGGGATTATCTTCTCTTTCCAAACTGTGTGCAGGTCTCATGTGAGCCAGTATACACCAATCAACCTATATTACAAGATCCATATTACATAAGGAGCATATAATAATGAGCATATTTTGCACCACATTGTGATAAGTAAGCTACAACACATGTAAGCACGTGTGTCTATATTAGTTACTCACTCATTTTGGGGGTCCAGTGCTTTCAGTCACTTAAGTTCAAGTATCTACTATAACTGACTATTTGAATTGTATTTTTTACAATTAAAGAAACTTTTAAATTATTTTTATAGTTCCCCCCTCAAAGTGAAATTGCAATTTAAAAGGTTTTTAAACAAATAATGTTTGTAACCCTATACAATTAGTTTATATTCAGATTTTTAAAGATTGCGACGCCTGCAGCTAGTTGTTGTTGTTGTTGATGGCTTTGTGTGGGAGGTTGGTTAGGACAAAACTAAACAACATCTAGCATTTCTAATTTTGAGCAGCTGGAATGTACACAAACATACACACATGATTATTATTATATTACAGGATCCACTTTATTGGTGAAAAGCAGTTTGAAATTGAAAACATTTTTCAAAAGAGATGTTACCTCTCTTTTACTGTAGGGAAACATTTCTTGTGACTGAAGATATGCTTGTAGTGCCAAAGGTGTACACAACCATCCCTACCTGTATGCTCCATGTTGTAGATAATGACACACTGGAAGAAATGCCACGCATCTTTCTCAAAGTGGCCCCTCATGTTTATACCAAGAATAAGGTAAGTCCAAATATCTAGGAAGTACAACATCACTATAGAAATAATAATGGTGGTTATATAGATATAGGCCAAGCTCCTCTGACTTCACAGGACTTGCATATATCTCAAAAGCACACAAAATTTTAATTTATCTGATTGGTCCAGAAAAGAGGCTGCCACAGTTGCAGTTCAATTCCAAGCTTCTTCCACCGCAGAAAATACCTTTCCTTGAAGTTTGCTGTTATCTCCAAAAGAGGTTCAGTCTTCCAATTTCCCTAGCTAAAGTATTGCTGCATTTATCCCTGACACCATAGTGGTAATTGCTAATCCTGTTGCTCTACTGGACCTAGTATGTAGTATGGAGAAGCAGGAACAAACCTATGAATCTAGCACGAATAGTCTTTCATATGTGGGAGACGGGTATGCCAGCCAACTACTATGATGCTGGAAATGATGCGGCTAATATCAAGGCATGTAGTATTTGGTTACCAAGACCCAAATGCTGACTGTTTTAGACATGGTTCCACAAAAGTGCCTGCATTACTTCAGAAACAGTAATGTTTTAAATTTAACTCTCTTAATTTACCCTTAAAAGCTAATTTTTTTCAAAAATTGAAACCTAACATGTATCTGCAAAACGTACACAATACCCAAACAGGTAATTGCAGATGTAAATGATGTATTTGAGCACACAATTTGAATAATTGTGTGTGCAAACTGTTGATTGTGCAGATAATGGGTAGGAAGATGGCACGCGTAGACTACCATTTTTTTTTCAAAATTAGCTCATTCAACAGGTAACTTTGTCTTTTACTCCCTCATTCCACCATTTAGTCTGTTCCTTCCACTATTGTGTGAGATGTCTTAGACAAGGAATGTATTTGCATAGTGCCTAGCAGAGTGGGGGCCAATCCTTTTCTGAGCCTCTAGGTGCAGTTGTAATACAAATATTAATAATTTTTGTTTGCCGGCATAGCTTTCAGGAACAGCACACCCACTACTGTTTGAAAATCTAACCTTTAATCTGAGTCACTGTTTATTAATGTTTTGGTTTTGAGTAATGTAAACATTGAGACTTCACTCAATCTTCAACATCAAAATAGCAATGATGTGCATGTACCTCATAACTCATTCCTTAAAAAATTACAACTTGATTGTAATCAAGTATTTGTAGAAATGCGCATTGTAAGATGAATTGTACAATATTGTAATGCTTACATACATTATTTAAATTAGTAAATTGATTTTTGGGAGGGAGCCAGGGCAGGTGTTCCTTTTTAAGTTCTGGATAAAATCGCATAAAAATAAACTCAAATGTTTGTAGGAATCAGTGTTTTACAGTTCTTCAAGGAGTGACCCTATGTGCCTATGATTGGAGATTTCTCATAGCAGTGTCCATTCGACCCATCCATGCGTGTTGCTCCGCCTTATGCTCCATGCCATTGCTATATAGTACTGTCTGGGCCAGGGCCGGCTCCAACTTTTTTGCCACCCAAGGCAAAAAAGAAGAGCGCCGCCCCGCTGTAACACCCTCCCGCCAGCGCCGCTACCAAACCCCCCCCGAGCGCCGTGCCGGGCTCCCCGCCCCCAGCGCTGGGCCACCAACCCCCCCCCCCGAGCGCCGCACCGGGCCGCTAAATCCCCCCCCTCCGACGCGCTGGGCCAGGCCGCCCAAACCCCCGCCCCTCCAGCGCTGCGCCACCCAAACGCCTGCCCCTCCCCAGCGGCGCCCAAACCCCCAAGTACCGCGCTGGGCCGCTCAACCCAAACCTCCCCCCCCCCCGCGCCACGCCGCCAAAACACCCCCCGCGCTGCCCGGCCAAAACAAAAAAACAAAAATAACCACCGTGAGTGCCCCCGCCACCCCAACATTGGCCGCCCCTTCTAAGGTGCTGCCCCAAGTATGTGCTTGGTCGGCTGGTGCCTGGAGCCAGCCCTGGTCTGGGCTAACAATCCTCAGTTCCTTCTGCGCCACTCCAGCTTAAGATGGAACCTTAGCTAGCTGTCCAGCTTGAGTTTTTTACCTCAACTGTGCTTTTCTGTAGATAATGTTTATAGTAGTTAGTTAGTGATAGTTAATTTTTAAAAATATTTTTGTAAAAAAGAAATGAATATAACAACTAAGTAAATTTTTATATATATATATATATATATCTTGTTGGGTAGTTTCTCTCCGGGGGAGTGATTTTCTCCCTTTCCAAGGGTATGCCCAGGTCTCCCGGAATCTATCATTGCCTGTCACGCCAGGAGGCAATCCTGGTAAGCGATGGACACACCTGCCGCATCCATTGCCTTGGGGAATCGCTCATTCCCCAAAAGTGAAACTTCTGACTGGCATTGAAATCTAAAGTCGAAAAGAACAGGGAGATAAAACTTTGATTCCTTATGATCGAGAGCTCACTGTGTCTGTTCTCTGACCCAGGCGAGGAGCACCCCTTTTTACCATGGTATCTGAGTAAGTCGGCTGCCTCTTCTACCTCTGAGCCGCACTCCTCGAGGGCATCTAAGACGAAGACCCAAGATTCCTCTTATAAGTCATCCGAGGACCAAGTACCAAGTTCTCCAGTTAGTGAATCTATCTCAAAGAAGTTTAAGACATCACCTCCCCCAGGTCCCATCAGTCTCCAGCATGGTACCCATGAGGTTCCTGGTTTTTTATGTACTGAGAGCTCTGACAAGCTTAGAGACTCTAAGGTACTGAGCTCCGAGAGACCATCGGTACTTGGAGACTGCAGCAGCAAGAAGAGCTTCACCATGATACTGAAAAAAACCACTCAACCTCCATCAGGTTTCCCCCAGAAGTATTCAAAACTCATGGTACCGTCCACTCCTTTGGCTATCTTTACCTCAAGCCATGGACACAGTACCAACACTACTCTTGGTACTGCAAGATTTCTGGTTTCCACGAGACCTCACAGTGTCAGACTCCTGATTCATTATTGCTTTGTTCTGATCTCTGCTCAGTACCAAGAACCTCCAGGTCTCCAGATGCCCACCTATTACTAATGGCAGAACCTCACATTTCCTCAATCCTGAGAGCATCCACATCCCCAGACATATGTCTGGAACCGGTGGTGGTACCTCAAGCTCCTTCTGCTGCCCTACCATTACTGAGTGTCTCAGGAAAAAAAAGGATTATGATGAAGACTTTGCCTCAGCTTCCCAAATATCAGTGCAAGGCTCTCCACTCCACCCCATGAAGGTTTTTTTTCTCCTGAGGTTCCTGAGCTCACTCATCTCAGACATCCACAGCTAGGATCCTGCTGGGGCGACCACCCGTGGATTCTGCCACCCATGCCATATGCACCACCCCCTTCAAGTCCCTGTGTGGCTTATCACCATCAGTTCTCTAGGGCCTCAAGCTCTGCCCTTCACAAAGACAGAAAACCCTTCTCACCCTCCCTTTCCAGGAGACTGGAGCCTCAGGAAGAGATTTTTGAGGAACAGGAGACCAGGGCTGACAAGGAGATCTCTCCAGCTGTGAACATCTCTTCTTCATCCCCAGATGAAGCTGTCATGCCACCTCCACCATCCTTGGCTGATGATTTTAAGCAGTGTCAAGAGCTCATCAGTAGGGTTACAGATTCTTTACAGATCCCCCTTAAGGGGTTGAAGAACTACATCATATACTGTTCAACATCCTCCATACTGCCAGTCAATGAAGCATTCCTGGACCCGGCAAAGGTCATCTGGTAGTCTCAATTCCTCCCGTGTGCAAAAAGGCAGATAAAAAATATTACACTCCCTTTAAGGAGTCAGAATTTTTATTTTCTCACCCATCTCCTAACTCCTTTGTGGTTGAAGCAGTTAACGAATGTGGAAGGCAGCACCACGCTAAATCTATGCCCTATGATAAAAATCTTAAATGTCTTGACCTCTTGGCAGAAAATCTTATTACTTTACAATTTAGGCCTGGTCCACACTAACCCCCCACTTCGGACTAAGGTACGCAAATTCAGCTACGTTAATAACGTAGCTGAATTCGAAGTACCTTAGTCCGAACTTACCGCGGGTCCAGACGCAGCAGGGAGGCTCCCCCGTCGATGCCGCGTACTCCTCTCGCCGAGCTGGAGTACCGGCGTTGACGGCAAGCACTTCCGGGATCGATCCCAGAACATCGATTGCCTGCCGCCGGACCCGGAGGTAAGTGTAGACGTACCCTTAGAATCACCAGTGATCAGGCCTTAATGGCGAAGTATAACCACATAAACCATACTAAGCTAAACTTCTTTATTGAACATCTGTCAGCAGAACACAAAGAGCAGTTCCAGGCAATTGTTATAGAAGGTCAGCTCCTTGCCAGGACACCTCAATAGGTTTCTCTTGATGTTGCCGATACTGCCACTCATTCAGTTTACATAGCAGTAGTTATGAGTAAGGCTACGTTTTAGTCACGGGCATTTTTAGCAAAAGTCATGGACAGGGGTCACAGGCAGTTAACAAAAATTCATGGCCCATGACCTGTCCATGACTTTAACTAAAAATACCAGTGAATAAAACTTGGGGGCAGCTTCCCGGGGCCCCCGCGGGTGTTGGGGGAGGGCGGCCTGCAGGCATCGGCCCTGCAGCTCCCATTGGCCGTGGTTTCTGGGTGGAGAGAATGTACAGAGCCGCCTGGCCACACCTCCGCCTAGCAGCTGAGTATGAGGGATGTCACCGCTTCCGGGGAGCCCCCCAGGTATGCGCTGCCCAGAGCTCACCTCACCCTGTCCCGTACCCTAATTCCTACCCCCTCCCACACCCAAACTCTGCTGCTGCTGGGGGGGAGCATGGGGGCCTGAGACTGCCCCAGCAGCATCCGGTATGCATGGCACAGGGACTGCCTGAGTTGCCCCTGAGCCAGGTGGACTGGCCACTGCAGAAGTCACGGAGGTCATGGAAAGTCACGGAATCCACGACTTCTGTGATAAACTCGCAGCCTTAGTTATGAGGAGGGCCTCCTGGCTTTAGCTCTCTGGATTCCCAAAGGAGGTCCAGAATACGGTAGAAGACCTTTCTTTTGACAGTACTAAGTTGTTCGC